ACTTTAAGTCTTCAAAATCATCCATTTCGACACCATGATCTCTTAATAATTGAACGGCTTCTTTAAAATCCAATCTTAATGTTTTTGGAAGGTATTCAAAGTTCGCTGCTGGATATTGTCGTTTTACCGTCTCAATTTCAGAAGAAAACCTAGTCTTTAAACCATCAAAAATGAAAACAAATAGTTCATCGAGGATATCAAGTACTTCATGATAATGCTCCTCAAAGGCCATCTCCAAATCAAGACCGACGAACTCTGTCATATGGCGATGTGTGTTGGAGTCTTCGGCACGAAATACTGTACAAAAGCGAATAAACTAGACTGATCAGATATCGAAGAGTTTGGTACAATGAATATGCGATAATGTTATACACCTACCAGGAGCAATTTCAAATACACGTTCAAAGTCGCAACAAATACACATTTGTTTATATAATTGGGGTGATTGAGCCAAATATGCGTTGCCTAAGATTCACATTACATAACATATAGTGAAGTGTGTATATAGATAAATTATGTTAGCAGCTTAAATAATGCACGGCTCACCTTTGAAATACTTTATTTCGAACACATTTGCACCGCCTTCACTAGATGCACCAAGTATTTTCGGAGTATGAATTTCGATAAATGATTTTGATAAAAGAAATTCACGAAACAATTGACAAACTCCAGATTGAATCCTGAAAATTCCGTGATTTGCAGTGGTCTATACATATAATCAATAATGGTAGTATATTAATGACGAAGTATTAGTCAATACGTAGACATTCGTAACACCAAAATATTTTTGAGATATAACAATGTGAGCTAGTAGCTATGATCTAACCAAGTTTAAACTGATTGGGAATTATTATTACAGTCAGACTTTCATAAATGCACACTATATAAATTCTCCCTAAATACATGACATAATTTGACCCCACCTTATAAGAGCTCTATATATTTTGCCAGCCATAAACGAACACCCTCTCTAAATGAACAACGCTTTTTTTTTTTTTTTTATTATGACCATAAGGACATTTAAGATCGTCTGACTGTATAATGGTTATTATTAAACGACTTAAGAAATTTCGATTCATTGGCTGAACGCATATCATCAAGTGTTTGTAAACATTTATAACTTGCAAACTATATAGGTGATGACAACTTACGCGAAGATCTACAATGCGGTGGTTTAATCGGGTGTCTAAAGCTACGCGACTGAACTGAGCATCTTCCTAAACAAAAATAATGCAATTATGAGTAATCCTAGTGATCCATCAACAAATTATGGTTCTATATAATGTCGCTACTTTGTTTATTTCCTCTTCGCATCGTGATGCGTCTTCTAAAGAAAACGGAAGACGGCCAACAGTTTCGTGAACCACGTAAAACTGAAAATAATAAAAGTTAATGTTAGTAGTGAAATGTTGCAATTCCACAATGACAGCTAATTAGTAAATCTACAAACCTTCTTTATATGTAATTCCGCATCAGACACTGTTGTGCTTTTAATTTCTTCACTTGGTTTGCTTATAACGCCTTCAACGATGACAATCGATTCAACCGGAACACTAATCAATGCCGTATGGTTACCATTAATGTAATACAACTTATAAAACGAATTGAAAGAAAAAATGTGATATATACTTGGCAGCAAACTTGACAAAACCTTTACTAACAGTTTTTTCGTCAACTTGAAGAACCCCTTGAATCGTAGAGTCTTGGTGTCGAAAGACGAAAAATCCGATTTTACCTGAAAACGACCTTAAAACTGTAAGGTAACGATATACATATATATAACTTCACAATTAAAATAACACATACCAGTTACGCGCGAAGTATGCACGCGAGCTCTGATACTAACGGTTTCTCCAGCTCGGCTAGCATTTATATCAGCAAACCGGGTTCGTTGAACACCTACACACAAACATATATTTCAATGTTAAATGAAACAATTCGCAAAATAATATTGAATTTAGATCACACCTTTTCTCTCTTGTGATTGGTTTAAAGGAAGCTTGCCATAATTTTCTGAGCCATAGTTCTATCAAATGGTATAATAATATGTCGGTTTTCAGTCAATCATAGCATATTAAGAGTTTTTTTTTTTTTTACTTCTGCAGCCTCTCGACGACTTCTTTCTTCAGCCTCTTTTTGCTCGCGTTCCTTTTTCCTTCTTTCTTTTTCCTTCTCTTTTTCTAACTTTTTTAATGCCTTTTTGGAAGGCGTGGATTCTTCTACGTCGTGCTCTTCCTTCATTGGCAAAAGTTAGCAGTGACAGATTTACAGCGCAGTTTTTTGTGGCTATGCCGCGGTTGATTTCATCACATTGAGTCATAGTGTAATTCGAAAGTTTTTCGTGGCTTGTTCCACGTGATAACCTTAAACACTTAAATTCTGGAATAGTGAACCAAGTCGATAAGTTGGTTTTTAACAACCTTAACTTCTTTATCACGTGGAAGCAATGCACCAATCCTATTTCAAAATAACTAATTTTTCTATTGGTCTTCGGTAAATCGCATTTTTAGCACATTTGAAGTTTTAACCACCATTAGAACCAGAAAAGTTTAGAAGCCCAACAAACCTTGTTGGCAAAACTTGTTTAATGATATAAACACAAACCAACACGTGAATATTGGCCAATTAGGTAACAGTTTTTGATCATATGGGGGTGAGTCAATAGAAATCAAGCAAATTGTTTTTATTGAATTTTTTTAAAACTTTATATACCAATAACTT